AATTCTTCGATTGATATGATAACATAATTCAAAACATCATGATCCGGCTACATCGTAGCCCTAGAATAGGAAACTTAGAACATAATGAAAAGATAAAACATCTTAACAATATTCTTAAACATGAGAAGAGAAGAAGAAACTATTTTGACGAATTGAAGCAGAATTCCATTCCCGGGCGATTCGTCTTCTCCTCTACAGTAGAAAAGTTCTCCTTTCTCTTTTCTAAGTCTCAGCATGACCTAATTGAGTCTAAAAATTCCTATTTATAGGTTCGGGGTCATAATGGCACTTTTGGTAATTATTTAGAGATTAAAACATGAAAATTCTAAAGTGGCGCCATGGTTATGCTTCAATGGCGTTGCGGCGTCATAACACAGGCCTTCAGAAATTTGAAGTGGCGCCATGGCTCTGTCCCTGGGCGCCATGGCGCTGCTCGGTAATATTACGATTTACGATTTTCTTCTCCGTAGCGCCATGGCTCGACTTTATGGCTCCTAGGCGCTTTGCTCTTGGGTTTGTAGTACTGGAGAACTTGTTTTTGGCGCCATGGCTCCACTTTATGGTGCCTAGGCGCTTTGCTCTCGGGTTTGTTGTACTGGAAAACTTGTTTTTCCTCTATCTTCGAAGCCTAGGTGCCCCTTTACAAAGCCTTAGTGCCCATTCTTCAATTTTGCTCCAAAAATTCCCAAAAATCACCAATGGACTCCAACTGAAACAAACCTACAAAATAAATTGAAAACACATAAATAACTCCTAGAAACACCTAAAAACTCACAAAATAATGAGTTGGGAAAACGCAAATGTAAACACATATTCAACTCACCAATATTCAATTAAGTCCATACCCATATACTCTGAAACAAAGCCTTTAAATAAAGTCAAGAGAATCTCATTCAAATCCACTCTCGATAAAATCTATTATCTCCATGATTCTCTTTCCTAGATAGGCTCCAAAATATCTTCACATTATCTTCTCAATCTCCAATTCCAATAATGCAGTAAACTTTCAAATCTCCAATTTTGAACAACTTCATTATCTCTACGTAAATACCTTATCTTTCATTATAGCAAGTTATCTTTGACTTTTCTTTGACCAAGTTAAATTTCAAGTTCCAATTCTCATGTGCAGCTCAAGCTTAATTGTGTAGCTCACGTGAATGCATATATATATATATATATATATATAAGCCATTCAACTCTCCTAACAATAATCGGATGAAGTCAAAAATTCAAATCCGAAAATAACTTGATCTTCATGCCAACTTTATCTCTCATTTAAATTCAAATAACCAATGTCTTATCTTCTTTTGACCAAAGTTTTATCCTTATCTCTCCAAATCTCAACTCAACAAAATTTGCAACTTTAACTTCAAATCTGATTTTGAATCTTCTTCTGCAATACAAAATCTTCTTGAACCTGTTTTTTGAATTTTTACAAGATTGCCAATAAATTGTCAACTAATAAAAATACCTAACAACTTTATATTGAGAGTTCTATTAAAATCAACCTTTTATTTATACGTCTTCTCCTCAAACTAGTTGAATTAGGATTAGAATTGATCACTGCTGATCAGCTTATAAATGAGGCAATTGAGGTCAGGGCTGCAAGGAGACGCAGAGAGCGAGTTGTGTTAGTACCTTTTTTATTTTCTAAAGTTTTATTAAACTTAGGATATTTTACTAACATCTTTTATTTTATTTACTGAACTTTTATGTTTCTTTGGTCTTTGGCTTCTTTTTTCTGTTTAGTTGCTAAAGGACATATTTGGTTTACTATTTTTCTATAATTGGATTACTAAATAGGTGTTAATCATTTACCCATGACAAGAACCATTTTGTTATTTGTTGCTTAATGTCCTTCTTTTTCATCATTCCAAAAGAATAAATAAATTAAAATAATGTAAACTTTGTTTAGGAAAGCTGGTAGTGAGTGAGTATTTTATTCACAAATCAAATACTTTTAAGCTTGAGTATTTGTAAGTTTTCAAGTATTTTTGTTAGTTTAATGTTTTTTTATTTTGTTTTTGTAGGTTGAAATTAAAATGGAATAAAAAGAGTGAAAATTTGACTTTGGAATGTACTTCAGTAGTTAGGACATAACTCTCTCATCCGAAGTCTAAATGAGGTGATCTTAGTGGCATTGGAAAGATAAGAAATAGAGCTACAACTTTTATGAAAACACTAAATACTAATTCTACCATATAGAAGGTGAAAATCCTCATCAAATTCACACACCCGTGCAGCAGGAAATCCATCCGCTGCAGTAGATTTCCTTCCCGAGAGCAGGGAAATCCATCCGCTACAGCAGTTGCGCCAATTTTACTAGGATTTTTTCAAAGCACTTAGCGGCACTACAGTGCTCAAACACGAAATGGTTATGAATTCTTCTATGTTGAGCTAGATTATTATTCTTGGACTTGATGTAACCTTGTTTAAACTATGTTTTGAATATTTTACCAATTGTTAGTTTGATTTCCATTTAATTTATTTATGTTTCTCTATGTTAATTGTTCTAATTTGTGTTTTCATAGATTATGATATAGATGTGTGGATTTATGCTTGGGAGAGTTACTTTCACATGTTAGAATTAGGAAAACACAACCTAGAGTTAGTTAAGTTTGAGAGGCCAATTAATTCGGGTAATCAAAATTAGGTTGCTTAATGGATGCTTGATTCGGTTAGGCTAATAGAGATATTGTTTAATTGGGTTTTACGTATTATTTTACTCAGCACTCAGGAGAGGGAGTGAAATTACTTTCGAAAACTTAAGATTAATGAATTGAGTGGAATTGGTTAGCAATTGCTAAATATGATGAATATATAAATGATAGGATGAAGTCAAGTCCATAGTACATTTGTGCATACGAATTTTCATATATTATTTTATTTTCGTATTTATATTTGTTTTTGAGTTGAGTTACAATAATCACGTTACTTAGTGACAATTTAACACCAAATTCCTGTAGGGACGATACTCAATCACCATTTACTATCAAAACTTGATATAATACACTTACAAACTTAAAAGTTTTTAGTGTCGTTGCTGGGGATCGAACCTGGGTCGCCCGCGTGACAGGCAGGAATACTCACCTCTGTACTACAGCGACAATTGAAAGTGTACATTTTCTTAACGCTTGAAAGCGTATATTTTTTGAAATTAATAAGCAAAAGTTTATCCTTTTTTTTTTTAAAACCGGATTCCACCTTATATATCGGAGTAAAAAAAATAAGAAATTAAAGAAAATAGGATTCTAAATGTTTTCTGATATTATATGCTTGTATGTCTAGGGAAGAAATTACTTGAGTATGATTGTGAAACCCTAACTGCAAATTGGTTTATTTGCGGCTTTTCTCTCATCTCGTACCCCTTTTTCAGCAGAAAGAATAACGTTATTTTCCTCGAGGTGTTGTTCGTTCTTTTCTTTGCTCTAACTTCTAAGCTTTTGAGACTTCTAGTTAGCCATCCAGTATAGTTCAATAATATACATATGTCGATACAAGATAGTCAAATACTTAAACAGATCAGTGAACAACTTCAACGTTGACATCGAAATCGAAAACCCACTTGGATATAGAATTTGTTATACATTGAATTTGTCCGCTGCTTTTTCTGAGTATTCTTCTGTCTTGCGTCGATATAATTATTGAGGCGCTTCGTGTTAACTTCTCATGTCAAAGCTTAAAGCATGAAGTCGTTTCACTACTCGTTCAACAAACTCCTTCCCCTGATCATCATCTTGCTCAAGTGAAAAAGGTAAAGTACATCTAAAGCCATGAAGAAAATCGCCTTCATCTATATAGAACTTTCCTTCAATGATGAAGAAAATGCTATAGGAATAGCTGCTTATGTTACACGTTCTGTACAGAAAAAATAGTTGACGAAGAAGCAAAGAGGGAGAGAAGTCCGAAAAATTATTTCTAGGATTAGAAATAATGTACTAGTTATTGTAAGAAATGTTGGTTTGTAATGTAATGGCTTTTTTTTTTTTTTTTTTTTTTTTTTTTTTTTTTTTTTTTTTTCTATTTCTTTCTTCTTTTGTTACTCTAGAGCTTGAAGAAGAAAACAAAAGACTCCCCCTCCCCCGACCAAAAAAAAAAAAAGAAAAAAAAACCAGAGTAAAAGAAGGTTTAATTTCTTTTAATTAACCAATAATTAGGATACATATCTCAACTTTTACCCAAAAAATAAGGATACATATTTTTGATGTCGCTTCCGTTATTGTTCTATTTCTAGTTATTTATACCTATAACGACCTTGCTATATTTTTGCTAGCGTCGTTTCTTACATATTTCTTTATAGACATTTTTTTTTTTTGGTATTTAACACATTTACCCTGAACTTGTACGGTTAGAGCAAATTAATCCTAAACTTTTAATTTTGACAAGTTACCTTCTCAACTTGTAAAATTATTGCAATATGCCTCATTTTGATAATGATTGTATTAAATTAGTGTTGAAAAACTACGTTTGACAGCTAACTTCAACGTTCCAATATAAATGTAACACAAATCTTTTAATTTTTTAACTTTTAATCCCTTAAATCTAATGAAAAAATGAGCAAATTTAATAACATAGGACATATTGCAATAATTTTACAAGTTAGGATGGTAAATTGCTAAAATTAAAAGTTTAAGGAGTTAAGTTGCTAAAACTCTACAAATTGAGAGGGCAAATGTGCAAATTACTCTATTTTGTTCATTGTTTTTAGGGCAGAAATATTCTCCTGTTAGAAATAGAATTTCGTTACAAGAAGGAAACTAAAAAATTCGGTACAGCTTATCCAGAGTACAAATTTCAAACTCTTAGAAGTAAAATATGACTCGGACTAAGAAGAAGAATAGGACTCGTACATAGATGAACCATTTTTTGTGTATATATATATTGTTCCTCCCCATACGTAAAGAAGCACTAAAAACTGTTAGACATCTAAAGATGATAGATTTTCTTTTGCTGGTCGTAGCTAACTAGGTTTAAGCGTTGTGTTGTGTTTTGTGTCCAATATGGATTCCACTTCTAGTGTTCCATGGAATCTATTTCCAGGTTTAATAGTTTGGCGTAGAGTCAGATTTCTTGGTAGTGGTTCATATGGTGCAGTGTATTTAACTTTTTTGACAAATTTTAATGAGTTGAATCACCTACTTGCTGTGAAAACAAGCTTTCTAGCATTATCCACTTCTCTCTTTAAGGAGAAGAGAGTCCTTGCCAATCTTGGGGACTGTCCCGAAATCATTGTTTGCTTTGGCCACAAGGTAACGGTCGAAAGAGGAATGCAATTATACAATCTAGTTCTTGAATATGCACCTTTTGGCACACTTTCGGACTTGATCCAAACATTCATATTACGGGATATAAACATCAGAATCTACACTAAGATGATGCTGAAAGGCCTTCGATACATGCACGCAAAATTTCGGGTTGACTAAGGAGCCTGACGAAGTAATAATTCTAGATGACTACAAGAACAGGTTTCGAGGAACCCCGTGTTACATGTCACCGGAATCGGTGGTGCTCGGACAGATTGGGCCTGCGCTGGATATATGGTCTTTGGGTTGTATTGTGATCGAGATGCATACTTCAAAAAGTGCGTGGCATGTCTTGGAGTGTACTCCAAGACTTGATATGGTTCATCTGTTGGCTTCTACAAAGATGACCCCGCCGATACCTTGCGCCGTGACGGAAATTGGGAGGGATTTCTTGAGAAAGTGCTTGGCGAGAGATCCCCGCGAACGATGGACGGCACGGATGTTGTTGAATCATCCCTATGTGAGTGAAGTTTGAGTACTGTGTGAAAGTGATCCAAGTTGAAGTTGAATTGTTATTATGGTGTGATTCATGTTAGGGTTTATTCAAGTATTATGTGAACGTTAGAATAATGTTCCTTTGTGTTTTTAAAGATTAGTATTGTTTTTGTTTTATATTCAAATTCTATAAATTATTCAAGACTTGGTTTTCCTCATGCGATGTTATAATTTTGATTTATAAATAAGTTGGATGGATTCGGCTGATGCAATTTATTTATTTTGCGTTTACATTGAACTTCATAAAGAAGGAGAGAAATATAATTTAAAAACGGAAATCCAAGGAAATAACATCGGACTCAAATCATAATTGAAAAGAAGAAAGCCGATAGCATAGAATTCGACCACAATGGAAGGCCACAAAAACAAACACGTGCACGTACGATAAAAATGAAGCAAACAAATAGAAACCATATTGTCATCAGTAATCTTCTTATTCTCTTCGGGGTATAAAAGCATTAACATGATCATTCAATATTCCATATTGTCATCCGTAAATTACTTGCATCAAGTTTTGCGGACTAATGAGCACAATTAACACTGTAAATTTGCTCATTCAGGAAACTAACCTATAAGCAAATATTTAGCGTAATATTCCTAAGTGTAAAATATAAATTCTTCAAACGTTACGGTATTTTACCGCGCATTATCATTGGAACTACGACAACAAGAATACTGCAGAATACAAATATTCCGTAACAGAAAATCTCGGGCCCTTTACAAATTAATAACACATCAAGCCATTAATCAACAAAACACAGTTCTTTTGAAGGGAAAGCAGATATTATGACAAAGCTTCTTCAACAAACACAGGAAATTAAAACTAGTTAATTTAGGGTCCTTTTGGCATCTTTGAAAGTTTTATTCAGATAAGGATTATCTATTATCTAATCAAACAAGGTAAATGCCATAAACTGATAACATATCTATATATGAAATGCCAGTTAATTAACAATATTTTCATCAAGTATTGCAGACTAATGAACACAATTGACGTGCAAGTTTAGCCTCTGAATAGTTGAAAAAGCAATTAATATATGTCTGAGTAGATGTACTGCTACGGGACAATCACTTTCAAGCAATTTATTTTATTTTTATTTTTATTTTTAAAAAGACTTTGATTGTATGGGTTGATGTTCAAGTGAACCAACCATAGTCGGAGGCAGCAGACTTTTTCCCCTGCTTTCTAAAGTTATATTCAACTTAGGACCTTTTTATTAAATGTCTTCTAGAGTTATTTTTATGTTTTTGTTCCTTTTTTCTTTAGATTCAGTAAATCTCGTTTTACTATTTTTTGTTATTGAATTGCTGTATAGGTGTTATTGTTTTTATTGTTGATGAATGTCCTCCTTTTTTATTAATCGAAAATCATCTGGATGAAGAAGAGTAAAAATATAATGTTGTAATTAGTACGCAAAAGGTTATTATTCTTTTACCAGATTCTCAAAATTATTTTCAGCTTTTGCCCGGATTGTTCACTCTGGCCCTCGTGTAACAGGAGGGAAACTTTTTGTTGAGCTTCTGTCAATCAATGTTGAGTGGCAGACAGACTTGCTTTAATTAGTGGCCTTTAATCTGGTTCTTTTCATATTTCTTTAATTAGTGGCGTTTAATCTGGTTCTTTTCATTCACATGATCATGTCATATTGCTTTCATTGATAAGTGCAGAGAAGCTCTGTGTTTTACCTCAAGTTACCTGCGAAAATGACGAGGGAATTTCAATCTTCCGCTTTCCTTTCTCTTATGATCTTTGCTATCATGATAATCAGAAGTAGCAATGCCTCAGTTATTGTTCATGGAAATGTCACAGACAGGCTTGCGCTGCACGCAATCAAGGCTCGGATTACTGAGGATCCTCTTAGGATCACAAGCTCATGGAATGACTCTCTCCATTTCTGCCAGTGGCAAGGCGTTTCCTGTGGTCACAAGCACCAAAGAGTCACCCACTTGATATTAGGGTCGTTGAGTTTGAAGGGTTCCTTATCTCACTCCGTTGGGAACCCCAGTTTTCTTCGAATACTCGACGTCTCAAACAACAGTTTTCATGGAGAAGTACCAAATGAGATCGGTCGCTTGTTTCGGTTGCAAGAGTTAGTTTTGGAAACAAACTCCTTCGGAGGACAAATACCAACTAGTTTATCAAACTGCTCTAAGTTGAGAATCCTCAATTTGAGATACAACGATTTCATTGGTAATATTCCTATTCAGATAAGCTTTCTACCAAAGTTGGAGGATCTAGTTCTCACGGCAAACAATTTAAAGGGAAGCATTCCATCTCATCTTGGGAATATCTCATCCCTTCAACAACTTTATCTGTCAGAAAATAAGTTGGAAAGAGACATTCCGGCATCACTAGGCCAATTGAAGAGCTTAATTGCTCTTGCCCTTGGTGAGAACACACTGTCAGGTACAATACCTCAATCTATCTATAACTTGACAAACCTTGTTGACTTTTATGTCGGTGGAAATCAACTTCAAGGTAGCTTTCCTCGTAACATTGGCCTTAGCCTCCCAAATATTGAAAGATTTCTTGCACGGCAAAACCGGTTTAGTGGAACAATTCCAGTTTCCTTTTCAAATGCTTCAAACCTTGTTGACTTTGAAATCCACAATAATAGCTTTTCCGGACAGGTTCCAGATATGTTTGGAAACCTAAAGAGACTTAGGTTTGTAGCTATCGGTTATTCTAATCTTGGGTACGGGAAAGCAAATGACCTAGACTTCCTCACCTCTTTAACCAATTGTAGCAATCTGCAAAGACTTCAGATACAAGAAAATAACTTTGGAGGTGCTTTGCCCAATTCCGTGGGAAACCTCTCAGTTAAACTTGAAGTTCTTTCCCTTTATGATAATATTGGAATTTCAGGAAACATCACACCTGGTATTGGAAATCTAGTAAACTTAAGATTATTAAACTTAGATAGCAATCGGCTGAGTGGGACCCTTCCTTCCACTATTGGTAAACTTCATAGCTTGGTACAGTTATATTTGGGCCATAATGAAATATCTGGGGAAATTCCTTTCTCCTTTGGAAATCTCACGTCATTGATCCACCTTCATTTAGCAGAAAACAGTCTACAAGGAAACATTCCTTCAAGTCTTGAAAACTGCCAAAACTTGATATTACTGAACCTCCGTAGTAATTCCCTAAACGGTACCATTCCTCCAGATGTAATTGGTTTGCCCTCCTCATGAGTAGAAGTAATGCTATCTAGAAATCGTCTCACAGGACCTTTACCATCACAAGTTGGTAACTTGAAAAATCTTGTTTCTTTTGGAGTTTCTTATAATCAGTTGACAGGTGATATTCCTAGTAGCCTTGGCGAATGTTCAGGCTTAAGGTGGCTTTTTATGGATCATAATATGTTTGATGGAACCATTGAATCTTTACATTCCTTGAAAGCTATTGAACAAATGGATCTTTCACACAACAACTTTTCTGGACACATCCCAAAAGACTTTGGCAAGTTTCTCTTTCTGTCAGAGTTAAATCTTTCTTTTAATCATCTTGAGGGTGAAGTACCAGTTTTCAGTAATGCCAGTGCACAAATTTCTCTTGCTGGTAATGATAAGCTTTGTGGGGGCATGGCGAAGTTGCACTTAGCACCGTGCTCTAAGAAACCTCCAAGGAAGCAAAACTTTTCCTTCACCAGAAAGTTGATAATCTCCATCATTTGTGGCCTTCTTGGACTATTTTTGGTGTCTTTTCTTCTGATCATTTGTTGCTTTCGTAAGAATACAAAGCAACAAACTTCAGAATCTTCGTGGAAGGATATTCCATTTTTGAATGTCTCTTACGGGGAGCTATTGAAAGCCACTAATGGGTTTTGTCAAGAAAACTTGATTGGTGTCGGTGGCTTTGGCTCGGTATATAAAGGGATTCTTGAACTGCATCAACTGTCCATAGCAGTGAAGGTCTTCAACCTTGAAAGGAGAGGAGCTTCCAAGAGTTTCATGGCTGAATGTGAAGCTCTAAGGAATATTAGACATCGAAATCTAGTGAAAATCATTACTTCTTGCTCAAGTGTTGACTTCCAAGGTAATGATTTCAAAGCCCTCATCTATGAGTTCATTGCAAATGGAAGTTTGGAAGATTGGTTGCATCCACGTCCACAAACTGGGGAAAACCAAAGGAAAAGTTTAACTCTAGCTCTACGGCTGAATATAGTTATTGACGTGGCATCGGCATTGGATTATCTTCATAACCACAATGAACATCCAATTATACATTGCGACTTAAAGCCAAGCAACATTCTTCTTGATCAAGACATGACTTCCCACGTGGGCGATTTTGGTTTGTCAAGGATTATTGCAGAAGAAGATGTTGAGACATCTCAGGATAACACGAGCTCTCTTGGAATAAGAGGAACAATTGGATATGCAGCTCCAGGTAATTTATTCTTTTTTTCAAACTAATTGTCTTCTTAAAATCATAAATGGTTTCGATTTGCTAGATACTATGATTTTTAATGTTAGAATCTATGTTTACGCACAAATGTGTATGTGTGTATGATGAATTATTATGAATAGACGTGCCAAAATTATAACTCAATATTTGTAATGCAGAATATGGCATGGGAAGCAAGGTGTCAACCCAAGGAGATGTCTATAGCTTTGGAATCCTTATGTTGGAAATCTTCACTGGGAAAAAGCCCACAGATGAAAATCTTGAAGGACTTAGCCTTCATCAATATGTCAAAATGGCTTTGCCAATAAGAGTGATGGAGATAGTTGATCAGAGTCTCCAAGAGGAAGCCTCTCGTGGCAACAGAGTACATGAGTGCTTAATTTCCATATTCATGATCGGTCTCAAGTGTTCAGAGGAATTACCAAGCCAAAGGATGAAGATTAATGATGCCCTCAAGGACTTGCACAAAATTAAAAACATGCTTTTTAACGGTGTGAGGTACATAAAGCAGCTAATCTTCTCCTGAAAAATGCACTAAATCTTACATCAAAGTGTTTTTGAATCATCTCATTGTTTTTCAATCTCATTTTGCAGGAGCAACAATAGAGCTTGAACTTTTGAAATGTTGAAGAAAAGGTTGTTATAATGCGTGGCAAACACTTTTGTGCAACATGCAGCTTAGCTAGCTGTGATGTTTAGAATTGCATTTGTATGTTGTAATTTCTGTTTTCGCTTTCGTTTTGTTATCTGCTGGACTTCTGTTTAAGCTCAACTATCAAAATAGTATCACTAGCTTTTGTTTTCAGAACTAATATATTGTTTCTGCTGGACTTATCATTAGTATTATTATTAAAATCATTATTTATCATTATTATTATTATTATTATTATTCACCAATCTAGATCCCTCTTGTTAGATCATTTTTACCACCATTTTTGGCATGTCGTTCTGTTCATATTACTACTACGTCCTCTATAATTTTGGG